TGGATCTATACCCCGAAACATGCATGGTTGAGAGGAGAACAATGACACCTTCAGTGTGATTGTCCTTGGATGGTGGAAGACCAAAGGTGTCGAAATACCTATTCGATGGGAAGGAACTCAACAAGCTCAGGATGGATCTGGGAGTCAGCCAGATATAATCGGATAGCTTTGCTGCCTACCGGAGGGCAGTATGGGAAGTCATTCGCCACACTTGACTAAAGATAACTGATCAAATGTCGACCCTTGCACGATGCGGGCCGCGCTGATGCTACGGCGGGTGAACCTGGCCGTGACTCTCGGGTTTCCCCTCGTGACACAGATAGAAGTGGTGGCGGCTATTGTTTGCAGGAGCCATGCGGACGTCGTGGTTATATCACTGTGCCTGAAACTTCAACGAAGCCCAGGCATTTAGCGATGTGGAAGAGGTTCGACGTCCTGTCAGTCCGAGCTGTGAACAGAACACAAGATGCATGGTGTGCACAGTGCATCTCGAAGAGGGCTGTAATGCCGGGTTACGAACAGAGAAAGAACGAAGAACTAACGAGGAACATTACACAATAACGACATTAGGAGAGCTTCTCCGAGATGCAACGAAATGGCGCATTTTTCTATGCTTCCGTTTTTCTCCTTGAATATACCGCCCAAGAAAAACCCCTGGGTCAGATCCACGCCGGATAGGAAACCGGGAAACGAAGAGGGGAAGTATGAGTTGGCTGCTTCGCTTAAATGCTTTTTATTGAAACCTTACCAATGGAGCACCGAAATAATCGCGGCAGCATCCTTGCTATTGTTCTTCCTTAAATCGACGCAGCGACCGAAGGCAATGATAGCTAGTGGGCATATACGGGCACACCAAGGAGTGGATCCGTGTTCATGCCGCTGCCAATTAACCGAGATTTCGCTGGGAAATTCATCGGTGGGTTATATCGATCCTAATCAACATCACTCAGCCGTCTGAACCGTCGTCCACAATACAGACGCTTACTGTCTTGTTGTCGTTCCTCCCGTTCTGTCCTTTGACTCTCAGAGAACATATCCGTGGAGTGGCAATTCTCTGTTTCTGGTATTCATCAACATCCACGCGGGACAACTTAAAACACCACCAGAGGAGATGAATTGAACTACGTGGTCATTCTTGCCATAGTGTTGTTCTCACCGATAGAGCAAGATGAGCAAGATGCTTTGGGAAAGGTACTTCCCACCTCGTTCCATTGCTCGTCCCGCTTAATCTCGGCGTCTGCTGAGCGGAATGAGCCAACGATGACCTGAAATAGTTCAAGTGTCATATAAATGGCTCTATGGATGGCAGAGCATCTGCTCTGTGTCATCAATGCTAAAGATGCAACGTCTATGATGCCAACCGACCAGACTCACGTGGGTATGTCCGGAAACGCTCGCGAATAGAGAATATACTCGAGTGGTACAGCACCTCTATTTCTCCAGATAATCGTGACAAGTCCGAATAGTACTTTGAATTTCTTAAAATAGCTAGTCACAAGCATCAAATCTGTGGTGGTTTCTGCGTCGGCTGCGCCGGCTGATTGCCGTTGGAACTATGTGACGATTTCAAAAGCATAACCGATAACCCTGAAAGAAGCAAGAGACAAGGTCCATATTTTCACCATCTCCAAATTGTGTTACATATGCAGAAGACATAACTTATTAGGAAGATGCAAACTCGCTATGTCTTTAGTTATGATTGATCTGTTGAGCTGCGCTGCTCGCCATGACGGTTGCAAACCTACTGCAGATAGCTTTGCTTGCACGTTGCACTGGATGAAGCATACAGACAATTCATTTTCTGTCTCTCTCCAGGAACCGAAGCCGGACTTGACGAGAGAGGACTGGGAAGAAGATCCACAAAGGATTACTTCAATACGATCGGATCTTCTCTTCACGATTGTCAGATTCTAAAAAGCAGAAGGCAACCACGATTGTTCGCACATATTCGGAATCCATCGAATTACCTCTTATCAGTGCACAACCTGCTAGTGTGGAATGCAGTGTAAACCTATTCTTCATTTACCTCACCTCGAACGTGGAGAGAAGTTTGAAGGGCTTTTAGTTTCATCTCCCATTATGAGACCGATATTGCAAATGCCCTCAGACTCGGCGATGCTGGGAGAATATCGGTAGGATGAGATGGTGGTTTGTTATGGTGGTAGCTGTGTATCTCACACCACTGGGGGTTTGAGCGAAATACATAAAAGAGATGGAGAGATGTATGTGGCCACTGGACACACCCGCTTCTAACTTACATCGGCAATGGACGGTCATAGTAATGGATAATCAGGGTGTTTATAAGGTGGTGCGATATATTGCACCAATTCGAATGGATAATGAAGCTGAAAAGAAGGAGAAAGACCAGCCAAGGGATGCTGGACCTCACAGGCTAAGAGATATTTTCCTTTCTCCGGAGCCTTGAAAGGCGACACGAAAGAAAAGGAACAGAGAATATGATCTAAGCATCAACTCGGTCGGTCAGTCGCCATCTTCCATCGGTTTTGACTCACCAATTTCAAGAAGAGAAAAGCAATTGCAGCCGACCATAATTGTCTGGGCTTTGTCCCAAATGGAACATGCCGAGTGGAGAGGTGAAAGGTTGGCAGAAAAGCCGTGGAATTTGACAGATGTTCCATCTCTTTGCCGAACTTGATAGAGGACGTGATGAGAAGAAAACGAACAGTGTCTTCAGTCAGACACGCAATCGAAAACGAAATGTTTATTGAAGACTGATTGATTGATCTTTATATCGGAAAAAACTGCACACAGTGGGACGTCTCAAGGTTGATTACAAGATGAGACTGATATGGACGGCACTGATTGAAAAGAGAAAAATCAGCAAAGGGAGGTGCAACCCGTTGACCAAAAATCTGGTAGTGAGTTATCCTTCATTCATAACAGGCCACAACCCTAGATAGTTATCCAGACGCTCTTTAATCTGACTCGAACCACTGCGGTTGATTGGGGTCATTCGTCAGGTGATGGTTGTTCAAAGAGGCTAAATATAGGAGAAAGACAGCCAAGGGAGGTTGAACCTGACGACCAAAACTCCCTCGTGGACATCTTTGGTTCATAGCGGTCATCACTCGAACCATGTCGGCCATGTGATTCAAATCGCTGATAGGCCTCCGACACATTACTCTCCTGATATGTCGGTTCAACTTCAACTCCATGGGATAAAGATCATTAAGGACATTGAGAATGGGAGCTCCTGCATGGAATGGTGCTGGGAAAACATCTTTAAGATGGAGGGGGGGATGATGATGAAAAGCACCAACACAGTCATGACAGGAATTCAAATAGGGAAAAGTGACAGGTGTTTCTGATACACTTAACATCTCATCCCATACATGTCTTCCACACCGAACATGGGTTCTTTCTAAAGGATTATGAGATGATGGCGATGTTTGTCTTCCCTGCTTGATAACGCCCCACAGAATGGAGAATGCGAGAGTCAGGAAGCAACATAGACTGCGTGCCTACTTTTTCTCCATGGTAGGCGAAATCGATACTGATGGAAAGGAGGATTAAAGGAATGAAGAAGGTGGATGAGGAATGTTGCGAAAGCCAAGCGAGATCAGCTTCAAGATTGGCAACAATGAGAGAGTGACAACAGTCATGAGGAGAAGAAACAGCCCTTCACGGTCTGCAAAATAAGGGTCTTCAGAAGAAACTGCGAAAGGGACACCAGCCTCAACCATCAACTTATACTCCAACCAGCAAAAAGAAGAGATGATATCTAGCATCATGACGATGACCAGCAGATGCTCTGGATTCTCCTCTATTGAATCTTCGTGACTATGGCTTTACTGCGAAGAACATTCTCATCCGGACCTACGACTTCAGAAATTTCGCAAGTATCGGTTTATAAACAGGCGAATGCAGCCAGTAACACTGTCCTGCTGTTGACACTGGCCCCAATCAAGAATACAAACACCCTCCCAGGGACCGTGAAAAAAATCTCAGAGACACGGCCGGCAAAGGCACCCACAACTATGCCTTCGACGGAGGAGCCATAGGTAAGGTCACGGACAACGAAGTACGGGCGGCGCTGAACGCTCAGTTCCGCGCTACCGGTAAGGGACAAGTACCAGCCTACGAGATCCGAGAGATTCGGCAGAAAGCCTACGGCAGTGCGAATCAGCAGCCGGAAACGTCTCTATACACCAATCACAACGTCATGGTCCCATTCGCGGCAGTGATGTCCTCCTCACGCGCGAGTGCATCCTCTCTGTTCTCAATGTGTCCTCAAACTGGTATCCTTGCGGAATCGTCATTCAGGTGAACCTAAATGTGATCCATTGGATGGGATCAAATGCTCGAGTACCAGGCTACAAGGTCCTTGAGCTGTGCCGAAGAAAGAGATGGATCGGGCAGGTTAATGTTACCTTTGCTATGCCCAGACAAAGGTCAGTCTGCTGCATCCTGGTCGGCTCGCTGGGGTAATGAGCCGGAGGGATATTTCATTTGTAGCCATGGCTACTTACCATCGCCGAGACTTGGAGCTAGCGACTCACAGGCATTAAATATCTGCCTTGATGGAGATAGAATCGAAGCGGATATCTTTCAATTTGTGTGGTCACTTTGACTGTTGCTGTCGGGGGATTGTGTTAGAAGAGACCAAGGACTAGGTTGGGGATACGTGAACCACCGGTTGGGAATAAGATGGTCGGTGCCATGGGTTGAACTATCGGCCAGGGATACTCACTCCATTCAGCGGTGGTCTGTCTTATTATGACCATATCTATGACTTCCTCATCCGGCGTCCCCGGTTCCCCTTTAAGGGATGGATCATGACAGCTGTGACCCATCCTATCCTGACGTACATTCCTCACACTCACACATATTCGGAATAAAGGAGATAACGGAATATTCCAATGGTTCATCTATGTATATATCTATCGTGTACTCGATCATCATAGCTACCAAACATACTTTCTATATACAATCTTCAACCCTCCACTTAAAAACAAGTAATATGTAGGAATAGGATAAGATCAACACCTCCCCCGATAAACATCCACCATCTCCCCCCTCACCCTCCTCGCCAACGGCCACGCCCTACCCAGCACCTGCAACGCCCCAACACCCAACTCAATCCTCGCTTTGAGCGACTGTTCCCTCCCCGCCCCTGTCTCATCCTCATGCTTTATCGCCAACGACGACGGAGGTCCATTCGCTAACGCGGCGACATGGACCACGGCCGCGATGGCGAGACCGCAGGTGAAGAATGGCGTTCGGGAGAGGACGGTACTTGGGAGGGTGGCCAGGTTTGAGAGGAGGTCTGCGGCGCGGAGAAGTTTCTGGGAGTGGGTGTTGGATGCGGGGGAGTCGTGGTGGGGGATGTGGGTTGTGGATAGGGGGAGGGATTGGAGGGTGCGGAGACGGGTGCAGGATGATGATGTTGTTGATGAGGAGGAGGCGAGGGTGCTGGTAGTGGTAGTGGGGTGGTAGGAGGAGAGACGGATGGTGGAGTGTGGGTGGTGGAGGTAGATTAGGCTTCTGTTTACGGTTTTTCTGTTAGAGGGTTTGGTTTAATGGGATAGTGAAGGCAGGGGCTGGCATACAGGTATGTTATCATTAGTGTTTGAAAGACCATTTCGTCGACGGTGGCGGTGTCGTGTTCTGGGAGGGATGAGGGAAGTCGCATTAGGGAGGTGGCGAGACGGGCGTCTAATGTCTCGGTTTGGAGTTCGGTGTCTGGGTCGAGGGATTGTGTGACTTGCAGGACGGCGCGGAGGTCTTGCGTTGCAAGGATGCGGTGGGTGAAGGGGGAGATGTGGTGGAGGTCGAAATTGGGGAGAGTGGAGAGGGTGGCGGATGGCTTTGGGGGTTTGAGTTGCTTGTGGGATGTTAGTTTGATTACATTTGTTTGGTTGGTTGGTTTTTGGGGATTGGATTTACCTCGAAATTATATGCTTTCTCATCGCAAGGTAGCTGCATCTCGTCGTTGATCCATTTGTAGCTGGGCAGGATGGGCCCGCCGCCAAATGCGGAGATGAGCCCTTCCACGACGACGAGTTCCCAGTAGGTGCGTCGCCAGCTTTCTTCGAGGATGGGACTCCCGCGGGAGTGGCTACGTGCGAACGAGGGACTGGTCATGTCGAGGTGGCATGCTAATTGGATGGCCTCTTTGAGGAGTTTCCGGGCGGTCTCTTCATGTCCGTAGGAATGCTCGAGGATGGCGAGGAGGAGTAGTCCCTGGACTTTGTATCCGTCGCTTGGGGCGGAAAGGGCCGTGTAGGCGGGTGCTCGGAAGGAATCGCTGAATCCAGGCTGGGGATAGTAGTGGCTGCCGATGTAGCGCATGATATGTGTGATGTACGCTGGGATGTGCTGGCAGAGTGAGGAAGCGAGACTGCGCCGCGGCAGGAGGATGGGATGCGAGCGATGAAAGTGGTGGTAGTAGAGCTGGATCATGGCATCATGGGCGAGCGGTTCAGACTCGGCCACTGCGGGTGTGTATGCTGGTGGCGATGGAGGCAGGTCCTGGATAGGATCGGAATGTACATCGTTGAGGTCGATGTTGGGGTCCAGGCTGAGGAACTCTGGCTGGGTTGGTTAGTATGACATTCGGGGTAGTGGATTGAGAGGCATACATCTAGGTCAATGGTGTTGTTGAGCCAAGTGGTAAAGTCTGGTAGGAGATCGACATCGCCCGGGGGTGGATCAGGACTAGATCTATTCCGCAAGCCGCGCCGTGAACGAACATAGCGACAGTCACTGTTACTATTGTGGCAGCGAGTGCAGATGGGCATGCGAGCGTCGCATTTGACATGGCGACGACGACAAGGTATACAGGCGAGGGGCGAGGGTCGGTGGTCGGCCATGATGATGATTCTGTATGCACGAGCCAAGTGTAGGGTAAAGGGAGGCCATTGAAGGATATATTATTTACAATGTATGGAGGATTGGTGGCATGGAATGATCGGACTCCATCGAGGCTGATTCCCGAGTTCTGGAATCAGGCCTGCATGCCGAGATCCCCGAGGCTCGGGGACCATCACCAGCCCTGATCATTTGCAGACTTCGCCTAGGAGTATGTATGCTGGCAGTAGCATTCCGATCGACTCAGCATGCAATCGGTGATATTATTCGATAAGCCACGGTGAATTTGCATATGTGAACAAGGCTACATCGTCCCAGCTAGCCACTGCCAGGGACAAGCCATACAGAACTCGAGGGGTTCGCCCGAGCAAGGCCTAGTGTGGAGAGGCCGCTGCAAGATACGGCGGGTCGCCGGTGTACTTTTAGTCCAACAGAGGTGTTTTTATTTGATGCAGGTGTTCCCCGACTGAAGGAAAGGACCCGAGAAACCGGATCAGCCGCCTAAACCCGGTGTGTTGGGATGTCACTCATCACACCATCACCTTGTCGATCGACATAGTGTTTGGGGTGTTGGTTGGCTGCAGGCACTGGCGGAGATGTTCGCTGGGTGGTTCCCGATATGCATGTTCTCGGGCTTCACTTGACTAACCCTCGAGAGGCACATCTAATCAATGTATTTCCTCCACAATTAATTGTCGGCGAGGTGGTCCGGTGCCACAGTGACACAAGCAAATTAACTTCCTACCCGGTCGGCGACTATCGACGGCGTCTATTCTAGACTCCTTCTTCTCCCCCCTTGGAATCATGTGGGGGAGTGGCTCCGGGTCCCCGTTTGTTTAAATGAGGATCCCGAATCCGAGTCCCTGGACAATCCCCGACTGGCATTGAAATGGTCCCCGACGCCGCGTGGCCGTTGCCAAATCATGACTGGTGTGACAATGTCACGGTCACAGCGCAATGCCTTGATGCCCGGAAGTATCTGCAGTATTCCCCCCTGCAATCTAATCATCATTAGTACGAGGGGTGGCTGACGGGCGGGGAATGGAATTGTGGAAATGTCATCCAAGTCGCCGGTCGCAACTTGACCATCGGAAGAAAGTGCCGCCCGGGATCCCCGTCTGGCTGGAATGAAGTACATTGTGATGGAGTACACTCGGCATTCAATATGTGTTTACTGTATAGTATTGGGGTGAAGAATAATGATGAATCCCAGTGACCTGACTGACCCCCCTGCTGACTGATCCCATCTCCACTGGCACTGACGTCTTGGTGTGTCAGTCAGGGTTGCTGCTCAGTCCTTTCCCCCTCCGCAGCACTACTGCAGCTTCACTGCATCACCACCACCTTCCTATCCCAACAAGGAACGTCTTCCCCGAAGTCCGCCTCACTATTGCTGGTCACACCCTTCGTACCCCAATATGATCACTCACATCGTTCAATTTCAATTCAAAGCCTCTCTCGCCCCCGAAAAGGTCCAGGAGGTGAGTCAGCATCTCTTACGTCATCTCCAATCCACGCCACAGCAAGTGAGGACTGACTGACTGGTTTCTGGCTAGACATGCACTCACCTCGTCTCCCTGAAAGACAGGTGTCTACATCCTACCACTCAGCAGCCATACATCAAGTCATTCAAAGCGGGAAAGCAGGATTCGCCGGAGGGTAACCATGTAGGTCATCTCTGCCGAAGTCGTTGCATTGCATGAGATCGACCCTAATAAACGGAGCAGAATGGAATCACCCATGTCTTCGTCATGGAATTTGAGTCCGATCAGGACAGAGAGTATTATCTCACCAAAGACCCCGCGCATCTAGGCTTCGTCAAGACCCTGGACGGTCTGATCGAAAAGTCCCAGGTGGTGGATTTCACCGAGGGGGTCTTCTAACCCTTCCGCGGACATGAAGACCTCAAATATACTAAACCGGTATGAATATGCATAAATAGAGACGAATACATGGATGTACATATGATCCAGCAAGCGAAGAAATCAACTTTTAGTGGTGTCCTGAATCTGTTCGAATTTCCGACCGTTGCGTCGCCGCCAGCATCGCGGATATGGATATCTCTAATCCAGCCTCTCCTCCGGCGTAAGGATCCAGCTGGGCAAACACAACGCCGCAGTCACCGTGGCAAAAACTAGCTCATTAGTGAATGCCCGCACAGAGAGAGATGTACTTACCTGGAATGAACTGATATCCGTACTGCAGACTCGATCGGATAACAGCCTGCATACCCTCCGGCAGCGTATCGACATAGCGTGCGTCACTCAGAACCTGGCGGGCAATCTACTTCTGTTAGACTGCGATAAATCACTACACTGCAAAACATACTTCTGGTGTCCTCTGCCCAAACTTTCCGGCAATATCCTGCATAAATCCCCTCCGCACCAGTAACGGTGCGATGGATCCGCCAAGAATTACCCCCAACTGCTGGCTGAGATAGTATGCCCCGACACACGAGGCCATATCTTCCGGTGGTGCACGACCGGTCATGCCAATAAACTCGCCCGATATGATGATACCGATGGGAGTGCTCATCGGAATGACGAGGAGCGTTTCCCAGACGGGGCGGTCGAAATGCCACGAGAAGAATAGCAGAGTGGATGCAACTATGCTAATCGCGGCGGAACCGAGGCTCATCTTCTTGTACCGTTTCGTCCTAAAGAATCAGCATGAGCACCCGGAGAAGTATACTGTGACTGACCGTTTGATGGAGAACCCTGAAATGATCGAGCCCATCGCCAGAGCCATGGTGCTCAGAACGAGGAAGAAGGTTGCCCCTTCCTCCTGCATTTGCCTCACTTGTGTCAGGTATTGTGTGATGGTGGTGGTGACCTTGGCTTGTCAGTATATTGTGCAGCAAGGGCATTGTTGCAACCTACTCCGCATCGTCCGCTAAACAACACCACTTGCACCAGCCAATACTGTCCGACGCCCTTGGTGACCAGTCGCAACGGTACCAGGGGCTTTGTTGCCCATAGACATTCATGGCAGACAAAAGCCAGGGTAGCTATTACGCACACCCCAAGCAGAGCGTACACTGTGGAGAGCTTTCCGTCAAGTGTTCCAGCTGTCGTCAAAGCTAATAGTAGGGTAAAAACCGCAGCTGCGAAACTGAAAATGCCGAAATAATCCAGACTTCTCAGCTTTTCCATCTTGGATGTCTCAGCGGCGGGAGTGGCTGCCCGAGGCTTTGTAGGGAACTGCACCCGCGATAGAAACAGACACAGAACAATAAGAGGTAGCCGACCGGTAAAAGCCCTGTGCTATTAGTCGTGCTCAAGGAATTAGACAGAATTCTTACCATCTCCAACCTAATGAGTTCACTATAACACGTCCCAGCGGAGCTCCGACACCCCTCCCGAGCATGTTCACGACGTTGGTATAGCTGCGCAATAATGCGACCTCGCTGGGCGCCGCCAGATCTATACACATTAGCTTCTTCGTGAAATGAAGGCGGCACAGCGTCGCACCAGTTATGATGATGGAAATCATGACCACCATGCCAGAAGATCCCACGCCACTGATGATCCGTCCGGCTATCAATTGGTTCATTGAATTGCTGAGAGAGCTGCTCGAGTCAGCGGCATAACGATCGAGTCAGTTAGAGTTCACCGACCTGATCAGACAGCCAAGAGCGAATACTAGGTATCCGAGAAGCATCGACCTCTGGCGTCCCAAGGTATCTGCGAGGGTGCCGTACTGCGTCCGTCAGAACCGGACACTTTCATTGCCGACTTATCGTACTCACCACCGGCAAGGCAATGCAATAGCCCAAATTGTATCCCGTCACCAGCCAAGATGCTTTTGACAGTTCACGGAACTCGGAGGCAATGATATCGTAAGTCGCAATGACGAGAGATTCATCTGTGCTGGCCAGGAAGGCACCTATTTGTGTCAGCGGTTGCTTAATCCGGTGCGTGAACAGGAATACCTAGGTATGCGATGAAGATGGCCAATCCAGTACCCCGAGAAATGCTTCCAGTTGTCTCATCATCCTCCCGACCGGGTGAAATCCCGTCTTCGGGACGTGGAAGTAATCGGGTAGTCTCATCAGAAGCCATGACCATCAAGGAGAGTGAATTGGTGGTGGACCAGACGAACAATTGAACTGGGCTGAGAAGAAGCAAAGAAATGGAACAGATAAGCCGAGCTTATCAGGCAGCATCAGTCTGAGTGCCTTATCGGCAGCTACAACTCGACGTGACTCATCATAAAACGTCCTTGTTAACTAACACTTAATGAATGAGGGGAGGTAAGTTGGGGAAAGGATTTGATAAAAGGCAGGTTACCCCGCTAGCACGCGATCGGCGATAGGCTTGATGCTATCTCGGCCGACGAGCAGATGTCAATAATATATATAGTATAGAGGTGGGCTGTTTCCGCCGCTAGTTAGTGTCAGGAACTTAGAGACTAGGAAACTGTTCCTGGGCTGGATCCCTAGTGATTTATTAGCGTACCATGGCATATTTAACCAGTGTAAAGCCATGTGTCGGCAGTCTACCATTACCCTCGCTGTCCTTGGTGTCCTCCTCAAACCACAAGATTTATATATCCCTCGTGGCCCTATAGTTTGGACCATGCATGTTAGTAGGCCCCCCGATACCTGTCAATGATCTAGGAAGGATGTGCGTTCCTTGTCAATCGAATATGTATCATCACTACCATCGCAGTAACGTCCAAAAACGTATTCGGGCTCTGCCAGTTACTTCCTGTTAATATAGTGTCCTATGGAATCCTACTATCTTGTGGTTGTCATTTATCAACTCGATGGTGCAGTCTTCAGTGAAACAGCTCTTGTGCTATTAACGATCGAAGGTCCTTGAGAAAAAACAAAAGTTCCGGTGGAGCTATACATCCTATTCGCATGTAAATTGAGTTTCCAATCGCCCCTGGTTCCAGCCTTTGGAAGTGGTTATAAGTCGGAAAAAGGTTAATGTTCTGGCCTCGGGACTTTGTAATGTCCGAGATCTGGCACCCGCTGTTGGTCAATCTCGGGTTTTAC